AACTTTTTTATCATGTTGTTTTCCGTTTTTATTCGTTACGTTTGTGATTCTGTAGGTTCAGCGGCGGCCGGATATTGCCATCGCGTATTTTATTTTATTTTAAAATCCGACAAACGAACCCTTTTTGCATAATACTCGTTCCCGGCTCGAGTACAACGCAATTTTTATGATTTTTGATTCGCACCGATGCCGTAAAAAACACGTTTTTAAAAAAAAAAAAACTGGACGTCCCCGAACGTTTCCATACGTAATGGTCCATTCGAGTGAAACAATAATAATAAAACATATACCTATGTAGTTCCGTGTATAATGCAGTCACGGTGAAACGCATACATTTTGGGAAAGCGAAAAAATCGACAGCCAGTACATATTGATTTTTCCCAAAGTTCATTTCTCACCGCTGCTGTAATTCGTTACACGATTGTATAGTGCGTTACAGTGCGTATGATAATTTATATTTAAGACTCACGTCCGGCGTTTATTTTCCATACACGCGCCCGCGTGCAGTGCAAAAGCGAAATGACTACCGGCGAAGCACTGTGGCAGGCGGCGGAGGGTGGCGTGCGCGCTGGGTATAATAATAACAACAATAAAACCGTCACGTGGCCGTCGCCGATGCCAACGGTCGCGGAACGTCGGTTTTCGAACACAAACGGTTCCGGACGCACACACTCGATATACAACCCTCAATTTGCTCCTTTTTTTTCCGCCTTCCTTCTCCTCCCTCCAGCCACCACCCCTCCCTCCCCCTATTTTCTATTCCGTTACCGCGTAGGCGAGCCCACCCCGCGCACGCGTCCTTGGAAAACCGCACTCGGACCGTGTACACTTGCGCCCGCGCGCGTCGGCGTCGTCGTCATCGTCGCACACGAGAAATTGAAAAACACACCACCTCCGACACTGCAGCAGTAGAGTAGTCGGAACGTGCACACACCCTTATATGCGTATAATATTACGCGGTTACGTGATTCCCGGGGGATGAACTTTTTTTTTTCCGCGGGGAAACCGCGACCATCTCCGGGGACTGGAAACAAAAAAATTACCGTCCCCGCAACACGCGCGCACGTTTAATGCGGTTAAAACTCGATAATTTTCAGTTTGCGTTCACCGCGACGGCGGCAAGAAGGGCGTTTTGACGTTTCAATCATGGTGCCCGCAGTCCTGGGCGACGCGTGTACCGTGTACACTACACCTACCGCGGCCGTGATCATTAGATGTTATTACATTTCGTCCGACCGGCGGTCATTGACACCCCGTTGCGACTAGATGCGCGGTCACGAAAATCCGATTTCTTTCCTTCCCCGAAAACCGTCTTCTTTCACACGTATAGGCGTACGTGATATTGTGTAACGTTTGATTTTTACTTAAACGTATCGTTCATTACGGTTCTTACCCGAATGCGTGCGAGATCAAAATACCGTCGATTTTTTATACTGACGGTCACGAAACGAAATAGACCGAATCCGGCACAAGGTTATGATAGAAAACAAAAAAAAAAAAAAAAGTCCTACATTATTATTAAATTGATTCATAAACAATTGCATTTAAAACTCTAAAATTACTCCCAATCAGTGACGTAATTGATTTCTATTCGAATTCGGAAATCGAATAATCAAAATGTTCATAACGTACGCGTGGTCGAATCACGTTTACTTAAATATGGAGGGGGGAACAAATGATGAAGTGACTTATGCATCGAGATGAATGGACATCAACGTGTATACATTATTCGAAGGAACCTTAAGTGTTGTTCGTGGGTTCGCGACCCAACTATATACTGTATACGAAAACAATTATTTGTAATTAAAAACCGTAGCCGATAACCTTAAACCTGCCAAGAACGGGGGGTCCAAATTATTCCACTTTCTATGGGAGTAAGTCTGTACGCTCATGTACACGCTTTTATGTATATTAATAGGTAAGCCTGCCAACGACAGTGCGTGCGCCTTGGCGCCAGCTATATATTTTATGGCCATTACACGCCGACATGCGGCGGTATACGCTCTCGATCCGGGCCCAAACGTGGTCGGACTCGACCGATTAACAACCCGTGTAAATCTCATTTTCCGTTTTGTTATGGATACACCGCTGCACGTAAATCTGATATACGTATATTATTATATTCTACCGAAAACGGTACGGTCGATACTGAGTTAGGTACTGTTACGCGCCTGTGCGTTATAGAAATGTCGGTATTCTCGTTTAGTATTTATAATACGTGTTGTACGTAGTACGTATTCGGGTACACACATTATAATATATACCGTATTAATTGAAGTATGTCGCACCACTGTATATACCGAACAGACACACCTGCGGGCACGGTGGCGGCGGTGGGACCTGCGTCTTTTTTATCTTACGACCGAACAAATATTATACATTCGAGCGAGCGCAAACACCGGGTACCGAAAAATCATTCGGCGCGCGTTTCGTATGTAAAAGAAACGACACCGCGCGTGACAAATATTAGAATTTGGAAGTATTACACTGTACAGCACTATGTATAAAGTACGAGATTTTTTTTTTTTTTATTTTAAAATCCCCGCGGAAATCGTCTCGCGTTGTCGTCGTCGAGTGCATCAGAAGAAATATAGAACCGTACATAAAATATTTAACTAAAACGCGAGAAATAAAGGGGTTTTCAGTAAAAAATGTATTTTAAGAGACGCGCAGAAAAAAAAATGATAGAAAACATTAAGCTACGTATATTTGAAGATTTAAAAAACAAAAGTTCCCACAAAACGGAGTCTGTTAAAGAAAAATATGAACTAAAATATATACTCTTTTAAGACAAGTATGTCTTACGTATATACCTATATATATATATATGTATATTTAACACGTACACACACAAATGTGTAAACACTTTTTTCCCCTGCAGGCTAAGTCCTTGAATTTTTTTTTCTTCGACATTATAAAGATGTGCGTGTACAAACAAGAAAAATAAGCTTTTAAGACATTTCTATACACAGGCACCTACTTACTTTATGTTGAAAATCACGTGAAAAACACTGAAAAGAGAAACAAAAGGTATATTGTTTTTTCCAACTCGTTTATTTAAAGCTATTTTTTCGTCTGAATGAAATTCTTAATATATTAACAATAAAATATATGTATATTTATAATTTTATTATAACAATCTAATACGGTATTACCAAAAGTAAGCTTAGCCTTTACTTACATTTCACTAGAGATCGAATTAGCACCCTTACCTGTATAAACATTGTTTAGTATAAAAGTGAATTTAGGTTTTAGGTTTTCTATGTACTTATTTCATTTAATTCTAAGTAGCTTTTGTAAACACACATTTTTGTAAGTACAATTTTTTTTATTAATATTTCAATTATTTTCCAATAAAATGTCACTATTTCCAAATAATTTAGGCATATAATTTTTACATTGTTATACAGTTTTGCACTTTACTGTGTATAGTTGTATATAGTATTTAAAGTATAAAAAAATCGATTCATATGCATCATGATTTTTATTTAATTTAAATGATTTTATTTATTATAATTATTTATAATATTAATTTGATATTATTTACTAAAAAATACGTAGTAGATAACTTTTTTTATGAAAACACTAATAATTTTTGCTATTTATTTATATCAATCTGAAGTATATTTTGAGTTTATTTTGCGTGTTGACCTACATATTAAATGTTATACATTAATTGCCTCCCGTATTATGATATAATCTTAAAACGCTCTTCCTTTCAGCACCGGTAGAACTAAACGTAAAACATAAATAAGCACTTTGAATATAATTTCGGCGCTATGTCCGTTTCATATTACGATTGTATATCGCGCGGTGCGTATTTATTAAAATCAAAACCCTTCTATTCAAATTTTACCAAACAAATAGTTTTTTATTTACGTTGTACTCACACAGACACTGTTTCCCTTTTCGTCGTCATTGTCGGGTCGCAGTCGTTGCATTGTACGTGAGTTACGACATAATATGAAGTACACTGTAGTGTATACCTACTATATACATAGAGTGGTGTAAGATTTATATATATATATATATATATATATATATATATATATATATATGAATGTATGTATAAACGTGACGGCGGAAATCCAAAACGAATATTATTTTCGCAGCTGTCGTGGGTGATTTTTTTTCCACCAACGAAGTCCTACGCGTCCTACGACGATGACGGGGAATGGATAGGGTTATCGAGGATCGGGAAGGATACGCTCCTGTTTTATACTACTGCTACGGCACATATTATATAAGGGGCCATGGGAACTGGACCACTTGTGTGGTCTTCCCCGAGCCGTGTTTACTCTTCGGCAGCAGCCTGCAGGATTTTTGTTCTTTTCCGAATATCCCGCGAACTGAAATCTCGGCGATCGCCGTTGTCATCGACGTACATATACATACGTATAAAGCCGGTGCACCAGAAATCCTCCATCAACTACAGTGGTACGTCGCAGTATAAATGTATTCTTCGTATTGGCTTGAATCCCTGAGCGAATTATTCACGTAAATAGTCCGACTGTTTCTAGACCGAATAGAACGGCTTTATAAACTATTCTGCACTGCAGTGGCCTCCCAGATCTTTAACTCTAAGACTTTTTGCTGCGATTTCAAACAAAGATTTTACAATGATAACATTTTTGTCCTTTAAACGCTATTTTTTATACGCTGTGAATCTACAACACCATAAAGTTTTCATTTTTTCTCATATGATCGAAAATTTGAACTCGAATGATACGTTTAGATTCTTTAACCTTGTTATTATTAAATATGCTCATTGATTTTACAAAACGTCTAATGTAAAGATGATTTACTTATGTTTTTCGAGGTAAAGCTTACAATAATTAAAGTTTACATAACATATACATTATTCGTTATCCGCTCTATTTGTAATATGATATTTATAAAATCTTTGATCACTATATGTATATTACGTTATTATGTACTTGTTTGGCTGGTTGTAGTACGTTGTTTACGATTTATTAACAAGCAGCTGTGTTTCGTTTCAGACTCGTCGGAATCGGGTTCGAACAAGTGTTCGGGGAGGACGGGATCGGACGGTCCGGGTAACAGCCGTCTCGGTTCGGCGGGCAAAGGCTCATCGGACGGCAAGCCCACTCGCGTCCGGACTGTGCTCAACGAGAAGCAGCTGCACACGTTGCGGACGTGCTACTCGGCCAACCCGCGGCCGGATGCCCTCATGAAGGAGCAACTGGTCGAGATGACCGGACTCAGCCCGCGGGTCATACGCGTGTGGTTCCAGAATAAAAGGTGCAAAGACAAGAAACGCGCAATCGCCCTCAAACAGCAAATACAGCAAGATAAAGTATGTACACATCGCATAACGTGTAAATTAAATACTCTTAAATTACGCCGTGGATGTACGTACATCTGAATAGAGTAACAGGGTCCTACAAATCGTACATGACGGCTCATTATTGATGTACAGCTTTTACCATCGCGTAAAAATTCAAAAATCTTGTATAACTATATGATAAGCGTTTGCGAGCATAAACTGTGGTGCCGGAAAATTCGTTTGCATCACGCGTGTATCTCTTGTAATCTATAATCTAATACTCGTGTGTACATACGAGTAAATACTATGAAACGTACAATATTTGTGATGCTTGTGTGAACGAATTTTATTTTGATTTAATACTTGACGTGTTGTGTAATAATAATATATTCAGAACCGTCTCGTATATCCCGTCGACGCACACAAACGCGTGCATTTGTACGTATGTAAATAAGTATTTTACTATACAGCGGAACAGCGACCGCGCGCGTTAGAAAGAAGACCAAAAAAAAAAAAAAAAAATTACCCGAGTGTTCGTATAACAATATAGTAGTATAAGCTTTCTATTTCCAAACGGATTAAACTTCGGAATCGGACGAAATCGGTGACCGTATTTAAGGGTTTATTATTTTTTTAAGCTATTGTGAACGAATAAATGTGCGTCCGCGCGGCCCTCCGCGTGCATGCGTGCCCGTGTATTACAATAATAATGATATGGGGAAAAAAAAAAATAAGAGTACCATACAGTATATTATATTATATTCTCCAGTTTCCATTTAGCGGTCTCAAAAACCGGTTACGCGCGTTCCGTGACGGCTGCCTTCCGATTACAATGTCGCCATCGTGTCGCCCGTTTGGCGCCGCCGGCACCACCGCCACTGGCGGAAGATCGTCGGCCGAAGACGACTTGTGTACGTACGGGATATGTGTTTTCCACGCTCGGCGTGTCGGTATTTCCCACCGACAACGGCGGCGATGACGCCAGTGCGCGCGTGTCCGTCGCGTACACGCATCGAATACGCATCCGTATACGTATCCGCACGCACGCACATTATTCTCCTGTTATCTCTCCGCAGACGCAATAATACGATATGCCGCTGTCGGTGTGTTTATTTATTTTTTCCTTCCCGAACACCCCCAGTCGCCCGTACCGTAGTAGCGGTTGCGGGCAAGAACGCGACGGGGTCAATTAACTGGCCTATACGGACGATGCCGCAACACGGCGAGAACCATTACACGCGGTGCACGCGGACGCACACGACCCACTCGTCCGTTGTACGCGATGCAACCCGTTGGCGGCAACGGCATCATAGGTCGGCCCGGACGACCAATGGGCTTGAAACGATTTTGTAAACAATACGGCGACGAAAAAACCGTAAACTCTTGCGCACCGTTTAAAGACAAATGCACTCTCCTGCATTTTCCTATCCCGGTACGTACACTCCGAGACCGAAAACAGTACACCTAACAGACGCGAGCGTCTGCGGTGCACATCGCACACTTTATATCACGATCGGAACCTTTTTCTTTTGTTTTTCAAACGATGTACCGTTTAGGTGACTAAACTTTACACTTCCACCGATATCGAACGAACAATGCGTGTACGTTGCGGTATAGTAATGAACGGTAACAATAGTTCACCAACTGTTTAAATCTTAAACACTATGTGTACAATAAGCGGACGGACTAATCAATAGTTACTAAAGTGCAGCGCTGTATGTCTATGTAGACAATAATATGTAGCTTTAGAAATGAGTAAATAAAAAATGAAATTCGTTTTCGCAAGCCCAATTTCTTGAAAGGGTATTTTTACGCGTCGTGCACCACGCGTTTGTTAAATCGGTTCACACTTCAAAACGACGTTTGACGGGTCTTTCTTAAAATACCTACGCACACGCTTAAACACATCGAATACGTATGTATACACACACACTCATAACCTCACACTTGCACACACACACACACACACACACACACACACAAACTAAAGTCGAACCTCGTATTATTTTTTAAACCATCAATTTCGTATAGGCGGTTTGTTGACGGACTGCCAACTACTTGGGCGGTGGTTTTTTTTCATTTCAATCATTGCCGACGCTCAGCTGTCGTGTTATTATAACTTTTTTTCCCTTCACCCTTTCTTTCGTTTTCACCTTACGAATCGTTCGAACGACGTTGTCGCCATTGCCGGACTCCTAAATAAACGACAACATGAGAAAACTAAACATTGCACGAGTTATACGGCCAACGAATCAAATAGAATGCACCGTCGGCAAAATCGTTATTGTTTTAGTGAATTTATCCTTACACATCGGTAAAAACTTGAACCGTATTCATAAAACTGTCGTTAACACGAGGAAACAATAAATTATATAGGTACTCGTTTGATCGTCGATGCTTTTACTCCACGGTACAATAATGAATGACTACTTCATCCACTGTATGTCTAGCAATAAAACCATAAAAATCTGTAATACTATACGTCAAATATAATTTCGTTTAGGAGTGTATAAATGTAGTGTAATACTAGTAAGTACTATACATTCTGAAGTATTTACAAGTTGGACTTTATTAGGATGGTATTAGTATAAATCGGACGACCTGTTTTTATAATTTTATTTAAAAGAACATTAACTATCAAAACAATAGGTATACGTTAATCTTGACAGTAATATTTTCGTATATTTCATTATAATGTTATGATGTACATGTTCATGTTCATATATATATACAGAAAAAGGATAATCTTGTATTTTATATATTGTACTTACACAATACATATACTTATGCGGATTATTACTAACGTGTCGATTGGGTTCACGCGTGTTTCAGGACGGTAGAAAAATGGGATACGGCAGCATGCAGGGTATACCAATGGTCGCGTCGAGCCCGGTGAGGCACGACAGTCCGTTGGGCATGAATCAGATAGAAGTGCAGAGTTTCCAACCACCGTGGAAAGCGCTGTCCGAATTCGCGTTGCACTCAGATCTCGACCGAGTGGACACCAATCAACCACATTTCCAACAGCTGGTCAATCAGGTGCTTATACACATTTACATAAACAAATATCAAAGTTAAACATTGCGCAGCACATCTTTGTTCATACCGATTATCTATATCAGGGTACTATTGAAAACATCGATTGATTGGTTTAACTGTAAAGTCAACAAATTTAAAAGCCGTCTCAGTTGTTTTCGTGTGCGGCTGTAGTACTAAAACGATATGGTACAACAGTTGTGTTTTGCTTTGTATTTTCATCAATATTACAATGTAGTCCACCGAATATTATTTCTCTCCGCGGTCATGAAGCGTAGTCGCAATGCCTTTAAAAAAAAATAATAAAAAAAATTTTCGTGTCGCATTACCGTTTTATCGTCGTAGGTGTAAATATCGATGAGCGATTACGGCTGTAAAGCGAACTCATTGCCTGTGTTCGCGCGTAATATCGAAAGCGTATAAATAAATAAATAATCGTATTCTCGCGCGCGCGCGCATCAACCTGTCGGCTACTGAAACTACGCGTACACCCGCCGAACAGTGGATCACAATAACGCGACCGACGACTGTACTACGTTAGTACGAAGGTTTCATTAATTTCTTTTTTTTCGGGCGCGAGACGTGGTCGCCGCTGCTGTCAAAGAATCGTGTTTTTTTTTACGATCACCGAACACGGACGGACGCTCACGTAGTGTACAGCGTCACACTGCCGATGTCTTGACAAGGATAATCCCGGTGATATTGGAAAGTAACAGCAGCAGCAATGTACACACGACTGCGCTGTCGACTTAGTGCGGGATTACATTGCCCCTGAATGTGTAATTACTACACGCGTGTCTGCAGCAGTGTATTTACGTATATGTATATGTATATATATATATATATATATATATATATATACGTGTAGTGGTCCTGGGTCACTAGACAACCTTGTCTCGTCAAATAATATTATTTTATTGAACATCCTATACGGTGTACACATATATAGTTATATTCACGTATCTTATATGTATGTACACGTATTATACGCGTCCAACTCGACCGAATAAAATTCGTGCACGTTTCTTATCGGACAATTTTCGAACGACGACGCAGCGCAGTTTATATTTTATAATATTGGTATAGGTACGCGCGTACGATTACACGTTCACTTTTTCACGCGCGATCCTCTTACGAAACCGTTTCGATTAGAGTAATATATTTTACACGTTATACGCGATTATAAAACGCATGCACATATATGTTTACGTACACAACCGTACGTATTACGTTTATAGCAGTACAATAATGTATGTGTTCACTTTTACGTATTTATTGTGATCGTATCTCGTATGCGTTTTTACGTAAACTACAAAACGTTTGTAAAGTAACGCGGTCAACGTGTTCGCAGATGCACGGTTACGACATCCACGGTCCTCCGCCGCCCATGACCAGGTTGGACATAGACCCGGGCCCCGTGGACATGATGCACCCGGATTCGACCGACTCGTTCGTCACATACCTGGAGAGTGACGATAGCCTTCACAACGACACGTCGAGTCCCTAATGCCGTCATCGTCATCGTATGCACGGGTGAGTAATAGATATTACTCTTTTACTACGTTAGTTCGTGATCTCTTCGATTCAAAACATGCATGTGGGCCCCTTAAGACCAACAGTAATTATTATTTTTCTCGGGGGAGAGGGGGGTGTACACTACACCGTGGGTAGATAAACCACGGTAGATAGTTACACTAGCAGACAGACTTTTTGTTTATTTAAATATGATATCCTGTAATGTTTAGCATACACACCCGTAACCTCCCAAAGTTTAAGTGATGTACCAAACGCGTGGTATACTAATATCGACATGTTTCGTTTTTTGTTTCAGGTCCGCACGACACCCATATTTATTTAGGCACATATATACCTATAAATCTTTGATTTGTTTTTTATTTGTTATACATATTTTCTTCCCCTATTATCGTCCTATTTTCTCCACTACTCCTCCGCTCCTCATCATAAATATTATATGATAATATGTATTGTTACATAAACGCGTGGTGGATACACGCGTCGCCGTCATAATTATATAACTATAATCATTGTCTATGTATGTACTTTATATTTATATTGTACGCATATATATGTGTGTGTATGTATTTGAAACCCGAATATAATCGTAAGAAAACGACGAGCAGTTCGTTGAGCATCCTCCGGGAATCAGCTGCCGTGCGCTGCACAAATTGTGTGTAAAATTTGTTGTAACTTTTCATGTAAATATATAATGTAATGAAAGAAATTCGTTAGATTTGTATTAATCAAAAATGTTTACTTGTTTTTTTTCTTTTTTCTTTGTTTTGTGTCACTATACACTTAGTGCGATTGAATGATTTGTTTATGTATTTAAACCGATTAAAAACATATTATGAACATGAATTTTCGTTTTCTGGTGATCCACACATACATTTTGTCGTTCGTGTATACTCGTATATTATATCATGTATACACGTATATATATACATAATAATGTTGTTATTATTTACCATTTTTTATCTACTACATAGCATTATAATATCGTGTCATCGTTTTGATCAAGAAACGCGCGAAAAGTGTCAATTTGTGGCCCAAACAACTAATAATTTTGTCCGGTGGCCACTACACATTATTAGTTGTTTTAAGTACTCGTACGTATGTTGTAGCAGTAGCAATAATTGAAATAATATTATGACTTTGTTTATATTTTCTTTATTAGACACGTTTACGAACGAATAATTTTGAAGAAATGCAATTAAACTAGTTATGGACAATAATTCTGATGCGCATTTACATAATACACTATGTTTATCGATTACATTTTTATTCTTCACCGCTGGCGTTTATAATATTTAAATATGTACGTGTGTTGTATACAAAATAAGTCCCTTTTATATCTATCCGGTATAATCTCCGGAACTACTGTGTCAGTTTACACGCGATTTTTGTACAGTATATATATATATTTAATATTCGTAATACCTCTCTGAAACTCGTGCACATATTTCATATTGACAACATTCGCAATTACTTGTGACAATAAGCTTTTGACACTCGGATAAAGCCGAGTGATTCGGTAACATTGCAATCGTCTAGGAACCTATTTGTTAATTTTTCGTAGTATTTATTTTATTTTTACATAAGGGAACAACGATATCCGCAAATCAATATTACAATTAATATCCGTCCGGTTTTGAACGTGTGAAAATATTTACCATCTGTACGTAAAACGAAGTTTGTGGTCGGATTTTACACCACGCAACGTATATATAGGTATAATATACCTGGTATGTTTATATGATTTGCGTACATACATATAGACACAATACATTATTCGTTAAATGGGTAAACGTTCGGTTTTTTTTGCGAATCGGAAAAATATAGGGCACAACAATTGCTGCCACCATCACTGGAGTTATATATACGTATATATAAACAAAACAACAAAATCGCTAAACGACCATTAATATTATGTATGCGTGCGGGGATGTGACCTTAGTAGATCAAATATATATATACCTCGATGTACACATAGTGATCGGGACTTACTTTTACATTGGTTTGTTTATATCGTATGTACTAAAAGAAAATGTATAGAATACAGCTTTTTTTTATGAAATAGAAAAATCTAAAATAATTATTTCCTGTGTTTTTTAAATATATTTTATTACACAGCACTTACCAACGCGAATGAAAAATTAAAAGTGTTTCGCGTTCAAAAGATCACCATGTTGGTAGGTGCCTTTCTGTGACACGATTTGGTTCTACGTACGAAATATGACGTTGATCCGGACCATAGTCAAGTACTCCGCGAATGATTTATGTTATGTTCACTCGTCCTCGTATGTAATTATTTATAAAACACTGCAGCCGTATAGTAAACAAACGCTTAATAAAATGTCTTACCGCGGTACTCTTTCTAGACTGTTCATGCACTATGTGGTATAATTTAATCGTCGATCGTAGTTGAAAATAAACATTTTCATTGCGTTTTCATTTTCATCCGTCGTAAATACAAAATTATTATTATTATTATTATTGATATTGTAATAATAATTGAATACATTATTTATTTACCATCAACATGTATTAATTATTTTATTCTATACAAATAAACAGCCCAATGTTTGGAAAGTTAGATTACAAATATAGTAGGGCCTTCAATGATATCTTATCCACGGGCCTCGATGATCGCAGTTCTGTCACTAGTTATACTGAACGCACTTCCTAGGTTAGAAACTATGCTGTAAACATTGTCGAATTATTGATCGCGAAGATGACCGTCTCGTGAATATGATACGGCTCATATTATACTACAATGACAGCGCAGAGCGACGGCTTTTCGCAGTGAAATCTCCAGCAATGATTACCTGATAATATGAACACCTCAGAACTGAACTCGAATTGTAAACATACGTACGTATCATAATACACTCGGGCGTGCACGGAAAAAATGTATGCTATTCTGTACTACTATATTCTATGAGAACTGTGTGAGATTGAACAACATGTTTACTGCGTCTAAGACTCTTGTTTATCCAACATCGTATCCACCATACATTTGACTTGATCAATAAACTTCCATCACGGATAGGTTTCTTTGTAATTCGATGTATTACGATAAACCGGGAGACAGATACACCATGAAAAAAAACACCAAACCGATCACTCCTCTCTCCATCACTCTCCCGCTCGTTTTCCTAAATATTTCTTTTATTTCTTTCTCTCTATTTCTCTACCGACCGCTGGAAGGGTTTTTGGAACGAAAGGGTTTGATAATATTCAGTATCTAAGTAAAAAAAAAAAAAAATACATTCTTCGTTTCATTCAAAATTTTAACACTACACAATTGATTGACTTTTACAAATAATAATTGATCTATGCATATATAAAATAACTGTTATCACAATAGGTGAATTAACATATCCAGAAACGCATTTTGGAATTTTCTCGTAAAGGATATATCAATTAATTTTATTGTTACCTATTTTCACGTGTATTGGGTAATGATAAAACACGTAAAAAATTATAAACAAAATTGTATATTTTAATACTAACGATACAAAATTTAAATTTCTTTTTTTAAAGTAATATTTTTCAATAATTTAATCTGTAGTCGTTCATACTTCTCGATGGCATAAAACAAGGCTAACGAGATTGTAATTATAATTTAATCTCAAGCGATTTACGTAATTAATTTAATTTATATTATTGTAAATCATTATCACAAAGGTCAACATGATTTCTAATATTATAAGTTATGAAAGTATGGATTGTTTTAGATTGTGAATGTAACACTTTTACCAACAGATTATCATATTTAAGGCTTATTATTACCTATCACAAATCGATTACTTTTGATAAAAAAATCAAATCATATTATTGTTTTAAATAATTTATAAGTATGAACCGTAGAACCATAGTTACACTAAACTTTTTTAAAAAAAAAATTGGGTAAAGAAATCCATCCGCCTTAAACACATGTCTAAAAATTATCACCTTACAGTTTTACACGTAGTACATATTATAATATATTAATAACTTCATACTTTTTAATATTATTGTTTAATAGTATATTACGTTCGTATTTAATTTCAGAGTTTAAAATTTGTGAACACAAGTCACAACTATCATTCCCAGTAATGATCATTAATAATATTACAAGCCGACGACTAAAAAATTATCGTATAAAACAGAACACTGGGTACAACTTATGACATCGCCGACTCCAGTTTCCCTCGTCCCTAGCAAGAAGAGACCGTCGTGTAAGAAATACGCGTCCACATAAGACGTACAGTATACAGATCTTACAGATCTTGGTGCGATTGCATGCCCCCCTATCATGCAGATGATCTGCAGTTATACCCATCTCGGAGTGCAAATAATGATTGTGATCTAATATTATGAGGTTCAATAGTTGCTTAGAACGCAAAAAAAAAACACTGTTTTTCGATAAATTTTTCATCGTTATGAATCCGAATGAAGGGTAAACAACTGTCATTCGAATTGCACGTGTTCTCTACTGTTCAAAATCCTCAATCGGAAATATTTCAAGCGAACGCCATGACTTGGAAGGGGCCGCCGAGTCGAGTCGTCGCTATGTACGCCCCGAGGAAATAATAATTTCACACTACCGTCGTGAAACACGCAAAAATAATAGCGTTCCGGAGCTGTACCAGTTATAATACGCGTTGTGCTGTGCTTATATATCTCGTATACGTACGCTACGGCGAGCATAGTACTAAACCGCGGGAGGTGACTCGTTCAAAGCACTAGTCGGAGGGTGGGGGAGGATAAAAGTTTTAAAAACGCCGAAGTCTCCCCGAACCCTTGCCGCAGGATAGCGTAGTTATGGGTCTTGAATTCGCCATACGACATAACATATACATATATGTATGTGTACACACACGCACGAACGTATACGATACAGATATATATGTGTGTGTACGTACAACAAGAGGGTCCTGCGAACGGAATATAAGCGCGTGCTTTATATAATATGTTTGTGCGCACGTGTACAAGCCAGTGGTTGTGCAATGTGCGTGCGTGCGTATACAGCGTGCGTGATGTGCGGTGCGGTACCGCGCCCGATTACCCCCTAAAAGGGTCATGAAAAATGTATTTTCCGAGGGCGTACTCGGAAAAACTCCACCCCGCCGCGTCCGCCCACGACCGCACCACCCCGCGTACCGCCGCCGACCCGCTGCAGCCGCTGCACAGTACCGCTGTTACAATACTTCGTGTGTAATATATATATACAATACGGGCAATATGGAATACCACCAGGCAACGTACACTTCGCCCGGGCAATTCGAACCTGGAATAGGAATAAATAACTGTACAATATTTTACTATTAATTTACCACGATTGTATTGTTAGGTACCTATTAGTGATATACGTATTTATTAGATTAAGAATATTTTAAAACAATGATGTATCGTTTTATCGATTTTTTTTATATTATAAATATTAAAAACACAAGTTTTAAATTATAATCAAGTATTAATACATTATTATACTTGATAGTATTACGTTTTAAAATTATTTTTTATTCATTTTCAAAAGGTACGCTGAAATGGCAATTAGGATTACAAATACGTCCTCCTTTTTTACACTTGCATTTATTGGTCTTACAAAGCTGCGTACAAGTGCACCGATCATATCCCTGTCCTCATAAATTACAAATGTTACGGGCTACTTCTCGTAGTGAAATTAAACAACACCGGTATATCATCAATCTGTACAAATTTTTCTTTACAAATCGTAAATTGGTTTCTGCTGTTTAATTTGTTTCCGGTTTCATAGAAGTTATCATTTACTAAAATATATTTTATAATGTTTATAGATTTTATAAAATTATTTTATCGATAAGTTATGAAATTATTACTTAATATTATTACGC